AAAAAACTGGCAGAATTGAGTACAATCCTGTATTTGCAAAAACCACACAAGGAGGCGATAAAAAATGTGCCGATCCCAAATGGTTAGTCAAAATCAATTCAAACGTCAGCTTTTGTCCTGTAAGGCTGTTTTTTAAATTGAAAGAAAAACGAGGAGAAACAATCCACATTGGAAACAAACTGGACACTGGTACAAAAACAGTCCCGTAGGACCAAACCAGATCTCGACATGGACTAAAAACCTGAAAAGTCAACCAGATTTTTTTAACAGTGTGCTCGAAGCGCGCATGGGGTTACCTGATGCAGGCGGGCCGAATTGTTCTTATAGTTTCTGGTGACAGTCACTACAGGGAGTCGGTCCTTGTTTATCCAGGATCCAGCGATTTCGTTGACCGTCACTGCTTCTGGCAGCGTTTTATCGAAGTGGGCCTGTTCGGTCAACGAGGTCCAGATGTCGTCGCCATCGAACGTCTTAAACTGCCTGCCAGCAGCAATCCGAATGTTTGCAGGGAGCTAAATGGGGCTCATTTTCTTTACCTGTCTGCTATGAGTCGTTGCATTCCATGCCTGAAGGTGGTCTCTCCAAGGGTGTAGTTCAACATCCGAAACACCAGCTCAGTCTTCGCGGACGATGAGTCCTGTTTAATCGCTGTGTTCTTGCCATGTGGGTGTCGTTTGCTGAACTCGTAGTAGATGGAGTAGAGCATTGTCGTTGGCCAGTTGCTGAACGTTTCATTTTCGCCAATCTGGAACCAATCGCAAGTGCGAAGAACGCTGCTTGAGGCCAATGGGTGGATCGTGCTTGTTTTACCTGGATGGTGGTGTAGGCAGTGATGTAACGCACCAAGGCGTGATTAATGTGGGCCTGGTTCCACCAAACTGGAGTTGCCAAAGCGCCCAACCATTGATACACCAATTCTTGCGTCAAATGCCAGGAGCCTTTGCTGCTCAATTCGCTTTCCCTGAGGAACCTTAGGAGTATTTACTGTTCGAGTGCGTTAGCGATTGCTTACTTGAACATTAGGACTCCCCAGCTGTCCCCAGGTTTGGTGGCATTGAAGTTTGGCAGCGCGAAGATGTTCAGCTCGTTTAGGGGAGAGAAGACTCCCCAAAATTTCTCCAGATAATCGAATGTGGTTGCCACTTTTCGGGAAACGTTTACCAGGGCTTCCATAAAGTCTGGACGCGCCCACACGTGGATTTTGGTCTTTGGCAAGGAAACTGATGATGGTTTGCCAAATTCAGTTGGTTTAGCAAAGGAGATAGACTCGAAACTAATGGGTTTTTCGGTTTTTTTGGCCGGCGTAAATTGGAATTTCTTCCTGACGTTTCGCAAGCACGAGTGGCTTGCATCTTCAGAAGTGGTTTGCTTGAACGCTTACACTGTTCTCATCAGAACCCGTGCAGTTCTTCCGCAGAACTGAACGTGGGTTCTGATGAGAACAGTGTAAGCGTTCAAGCAAACCACTTCTGAAGATGCAAGCCACTCGTGCTT